TCTACAGAGCTATTTCCAGGACAGGCTCCAAAGCCACAGAGAAACCCTGTCTCAAAAGACCAAAAAAAAAGCAACTTGGGGAGGCAAGGGTTTTTGTCATATTTGTAGTCCATCATTGGAGGCAGAACCTGAAGCAAAGCCATCACAGAATGCTGTTTTTGCCTGGAGAGATGGCTCAGCGGTTAAGAGCACTGACTGCTCTTCCAGAGGACCTGAGTTCAACTCCCAGCACCCACATGGTGACTCAACACTGTGCTGTATACATAATAAGTAAATTAAAAAAAGAATGCTGTTTTCTGACTTGCTCAGATTGCTCAGGTTACCCTTCTAGGAGTGGCATTGCCCACAGTGGGCTGGTTCCTTCCATCAGTCAAGAAAAGGCCCCATTCACTTGCCTACAGGCCAAACTGATGAAGGCATTTCTCAGTTGAGATTTCTTTTCCGGGGGGGGGGGGGGGTAGGGACAGGGTTTCTCTGTAGCTTTGGAGCCTCCCTGTCCTGGAACTCATTTGGTAGACTTGGTAGATCAGGCTGGCCTCGAAATCATGGAGAGTCACCAGTTTCTGCCCCCCAGTGCTGGGATTAAAGGCATGCAATACAGTGTTCTGCCTGCATGTCTTTCTACAGGCCAGAAGAGGGCACCAGATCTCATTACAGATGGTTGTGAGCCACCATGTGGTTGCTGGGAATTGAACTCAGGATCTTTGGAAGATCAGCCTGTGCTCTTAACCTCTGAGCCATCTCTCCAGCACCCTCAGTGGAGTTTCTACTTCTCAAATGACTCCTCCTTGTCAAGTCAACAAAAAACTAGCCAGTGTAACTGATCCATGTCAGCCTCACACACAAATACACCACAAACCATGACCTTCCTTCTCTTATCTCCAAGAACTCAAGATAATTTTTTCTTTGATTTTTTTTGGGGGGTTTTCGAGACAGGGTTTCTCTGTGGCTTTGGAGCCTGTCCTGGAACTAGCTCTGTAGACCAGGCTGGTCTCGAACTCACAGAGATCCGCCTGCCTCTGCCTCCCGAGTGCTGGGATTAAAGGCGTGCGCCACCACCGGCCCGGCTCGAGACAGGGATTTCCTGTGTAGCTTTGGGTGCTGTCTTGAACTTGCTCTGTAGACTAGGCTGGCCTCGAACTCACAAAGATTTGCCAGCCTGATCTACAGAGCAAGTTCCAGGACAGCCAGGGCTACATAGAGAATCTCTATCTGGAAAAAAAAAATACCCCCCCCCCAAAAAAAAAGAAAGGAAGGAGGGAGGGAGGGAGGAGAGGAAGAAAGGGGAGGGGAGGGAAGGGAAAGGAAGAAGGAAGGAAAGAAAGAAAAAAGGAAGGAAGAAAGAAAGAAAAAACCCGGTACCACCCGGGAGACTTTAAGCTCAGCACCCTTGGGCTCCTCTGAACCACAGTTCAGGTGTGCTGACCCCAAGGAAACTTCCCTTCCCTGAAGATTTCACCTCAACGATGGATGCTGGTTTCTTCCTAATCACAGCTGCTTTCTCAGCTGGGCCAGACCAGCATCCAGTCAAAGCAAAGGTTTTACTGAATTGGTCTGGTCTCTTGTTAAACATGACTGATTCTTCAGCCTAAGCTGACCAGAAACCACAGGTTCTTAGTTCAAACAAGCACATGAACAACCAAGAAACATCGCAGTCTGATGGAGGACTTTTCTGATTTTTTGAGAGAGTGGGGGGAGCCTGAGTGTGGAGCACAGCCGCCAAGCCAGCCACGGGCTGACGTGGGCAGGGACAGGCTCTTGGCTGGATAAGCTAGAGCACTGAGGCCTCTTCCAGTCTAGACCCTTCAGGTCCCTAACCTGCCAAGACCTGCCTTTCCTGTTTCCTCTCTGAACCTTTCCAAGATGTCCAATTCCTGTCCCAAGCAGATGAGAGGGCAGATGGGCCAGCCAGAGGAAAAGTGTCAGGAGAGAAGAGAGGCCTGGCCCACTAGGCAGAATCTGCGGGTGGATAGGCAGAATCTGCGGGTGGATGGGCAGACGAGAGATTCCAGCCATAGGGGAGAAACAAGCGACCAGAGAGAGCACTGTGGCTGGCAGAAGCAGGTAGCTGGCCACTGTAGACAGCCAAAGGCTTTACCTACCTTCTCCATAACTTTTTTGAGACAGGGTTTCTGTGTAGCTTTGGAGCCTGTCCTGGAACTAGCTCTTGTAGACCAGGCTGGACTCAAACTCACAGAGATCCGCCTGCCTCTGCCTCCCGCGTGCTGGGATTAAAGGTGTGCGCCACCACCGCCCGGCTCTTCTCCAGAACTTTTAATAGCTCTCTACTTCTCAGAGTCACGGGGCAGCGTCACTTCCCATGCTTAACCACAAGGAGCTGGCTGTAGAAGGTAGTATTCCAGTAGTGTCCGTTCCTCTGCCGGGTCCAGCATCTGCCTCAACACTCCCTTTGTTTCAGCATGGCCTCCATTTCCCCAAGGCTGAGTCGCATTTGCCTCCAGAGACAGATCTGCTAAGCAGGGTAGGTAGTGCAGACCGTTGTGCAGTTTCTCAGAGAGCTATCTCAAACTTCACACCACGTTCATACTGACCCACAGAGAACAGGTGTGTGCCACACAAACGAACAGACTCCTCCATACACAGAGGTGGACAAGCTAGGCTGCAGCACACGCTAACATTTATGTAGTCAGCAGACCATGTTCCTCGAGTCCTGGCCTCCAGCTGCTCTTCCCTGCTAGAGATCTTTACTTTCCTTCTGATTTGAGTTACTGAAAGCTGTGTCAAAGTTGTTTACCAGCTCTGCTTCACGAGCACGTGTTGCCTTGGCCTTGAGGATCAGAGGGTAAGGTTTTCACCTGGGCCACACTTGACTGTTGGGTATATGAGCCTCGTGGTGCTATTGAATAGAGGGCTTCTCACCAGGGACTAGAGGTCCGTGTCTCTGTTTCAACCTCCAGCCCCTTGCCCAAAGCTCGCGAACTGTATGGTGGTGCAGAGAAGGCAGACAGGCGTTGTGTGCTGCAAACACATTCCCAACACTACTTCTTCTGTATATGTCCAACTAGCCAATCACACACACCTTGGAGAAGCAAGGATGTGCCGTGGTCCTCCACGGGCATCACTGATGGCACTGAAATGTTGCCCCAGGCTGGTATTGATTCTGGTGCTAACTACCTCTCAGCCCTATATAACCCAAAGGGTCACAGCCTTGCTGGTTTGCTGTTGAGGACTCCTTCTCCCAAAGATCCCTCAATGTTAGTGTTCAGGACTCAGGCTTTAGACTCCCTCCTCCTTGTTCTCTTGAACTGGGTGACCCACCTATTCTCAGGATGCTAAACAAACCCATCTGGTCTCTCCTTGCTGGAAATGGTATTTGGGGGCTGGGGCTACAACTGCCTCTCTAACACCCACACCCAGGTATCTAATCTGATATCCAAAACCTGACTCAGTCCTGCCCCACCCCCCAGAGAAAAAAGTAAAATGAACAAACCAAAAAAAATTGCTGCTCCCAAGACTTTCCTCGCTTGCACAGCCCAAGATCAAGGCTAAATTCCTCTTCCCTCCAAACCACCTCCACACAGGAACTTCCTTCAGGACACCACCTGCCTCCCCCCACCCCTCCAGTTAAGCCCAGACCACTGCTCCCCTGAATACATGCCAGCCTGCTCCCTCTGTCTCAGTCCTTGTCCTGCTGTGGCCAAGCCTGTCTTCAAGCCACTTCAGGAGTCTTTCCAAAGTGTGGAGTGGGTGATGACACTCCCTTACTGAAGACCCCAGGGCTTATCAATTCACTTACAACGACATCTGAACACCTCGGGAGCTGCAACGTGGCCTGCATGGTCCCGCACCATGGATGCTAGCTCTCTGCAAGCCTGGAACTCCACTCCTGCTCTTATTCCTTATGCCTACCTAGACACACTCTCCCCCAGATCTTGGCATGGGTGCCCTCTCCTCAGGACCCAGGTCTTTCCTGGGGTGTTCCCCATCCCAATGGATTCCATCCTCTCCTCAGCACCTCACAGCCCAAGAGTGCCTGCCTCCTAAAGACTTTTAAAACCTCTTTATTCTGAATCTCCATTTTTAGGAGGAGCCAGGCATCTCCTAACCGGGTGGAGTGGGGTGTGTGTGTGTGGGGGGGGGTTGTTCTCATCCCACACTGAAAAGCTGAAGCAGCATTATATGCAAATAGTTAAGTACACCTGTGACCAAGAGACCTCTGCATGCTCACAAAGCCTGCTAAACAGTCACAAATACTCCCAGGTGTGAGTCAGCCCACTTCTTCTTTCTCCATCTCCTCTTGCCCCCTACTTGAACCCAGGCTGGCCTGGGGGAGTGTGGGGGGGGGTCGTCCTGCAGCTTGGACAGGGAGGGGGTTAATGGCCCTCAGGCCTCAGGCAGCGCCTACAGCTATGCCTGCAATTTCCTCTCCCCATTCTTCCCCTCCTCCTTCCCAAGATTCCCGCCAAGAAAGCCTCCCCCTCACCCCAGCCCCAGTATAGGGAGGGGAATGGCGGCGGGGGGGGGGGGGGTGTAGCCAGACGACAAGTCAGAAAGAAGAGCCCAGCTGCAAATCCCCCAGCACACTTCTGTGCAAGCCTTGAGCCCAGGTGGAAGCACACGTGTGAGTTTGGGCAGGTCCAGCCGGCAAAGCAGCGAGGACGTTCCCTGCGCTTGCAGAGGCAGGGGCCCCGCTGGGGTCTGCAGCGTGCTGGGGCCTGGCTCACGGCCGAGTCCTACAGTCATTGACCTTGGGTGACCACAGCAGCTGGACACACTCAGCCAGGCCGCTGGGAGGAGGGCCTGTGAGGTCCTCTCCCGGAGGACCAATGAGGACGTGGAGGTGATGGCTTACTCCGCTGGGTCCACCAAAGGGCTGGAGGGATGATTGGGTTTGGACCCGCCCCCATCACAGGAGGAGCCAGGCACAGGGAAGTAGTTTGGAGCCTGCGCCCTATAGTCAGAGAGTTGTGGGTTCAAGTCCTGACTATGTGGCAAAGATCTTCAAGATTTTTATGACTCAGTTTACATCCTCCGCAAATTGGAGATTTAATGATAGTCACATTCTAGGATTGGTAGGCTTACAAGAAGGAATGTCTATGGGGGGTGGGTACCTCCGGCGCCCAGGCCTTAGGGATGTTTAGTTAATGTTGTTGTTAGTACTAGCTGGGGCAGCCCCTGTGAGCGGCCTCCCCAGCGGCTTCCTGTAGGGGAGCAGGGGCCGCCCCCTCTCCCCTTCCTCCAGGCGCTCTTCCTCCCGCCTCTCCGCCCCGCCCCGCCCCGTCCCGTCCCGTCCCGTCCCTCCTCTTTCCTCAGAGGAAACTTTCCGCCGGCTGGACCATCAGGTGTCCGGCCGCGCCACGGTGCAAACCGAGTAAGAAGGACGGGGTGGCCCGGCCAGGGTGTATGCAGCCCCCGAAGAGACGCAACTGCCGGGGGAAGACAGCGGGACGCTGACGGGTGAGTGAGCAGGGCTGAGGCCCCGCAGGCGGAGGGGTGCAGGAGGGAGGCGGCAGGGGAGCCCGAGGCACCGCCTCGTCCTTCCGTGCGCTGGGCCTCGCCTGGGGACCCCACGAAGGGGCGGAGCGTGTGCGGCTTCTCCGCTGCTCCCCGGGATGAAGGGGCGTCTGCGGAGAAGCAAGGACTCTTTGGCAGAGCCCAGATCTGTGACCAAATGAGGGGAACTGCTCTCCTCCAGGGTGGAGGAGCTGCCCCAGGAGTGAGCGCCCTGGGCCCTGGAGGACCTGACCTGGCTGACCTCGCAGGCTTACAGGAGAGCTGCGCCCCAGCAGCATGGATGCCCCAAGGAGGGATATGGAGCTACTCAGCAACAGCCTGGCGGCCTATGCACACATCCGAGGTGAGGGCCAGGCCTGGGAGAACGGAGTCGGTCTCAGAACGCAGGCAGCCCTCCACTCCCAGCTGCTCAGTCCTATCCCCAGATGCCTGTCCCCTGCTGCCCTTCTCTTCTGTGCCCCAAACTTAGGCCCTGGATCTCTCCCAGATGGGCCGACTCCAGCCTGCCAGGCCCCCCTATGACCTCCGCTCCCTGCTCCCTAGCTAACCCCGAGAGCTTCGGTCTCTACTTCGTGCTGGGCGTCTGCTTCGGCCTGCTGCTGACCCTGTGCCTACTAGTCATCAGCATCTCCTGCGCGCCTCGCTCGCGGCCCCGGACCCCTGCTCCGCGCCGGGACCCTCGCAGCAGCACCCTAGAGCCCGAAGATGAGGACGACGAGGATGAAGACACCATGACGAGGCTGGGCCCGGATGACACTCTCCCGGGCCAGGAGCTATCCACTGAGCCCGAGGGGCCCCTTAGTGTCAATGTCTTCACGTCTGCAGAAGAGCTAGAGCGGGCACAGCGGCTGGAGGAGCGTGAGCGAATCCTGCGGGAGATCTGGCGCACTGGGCAGCCGGACCTGCTGGGCACCGGTACGCTAGGGCCCGGAGCCACGGCCACAGGCACACTGGGCCGTATGCACTATTATTGACACACGACCCACAGCATGGGTCCCTGAATACTGGACATGGGACTGAACTCAGTGCTGCCCCAGGGCTTTCAAACTGCCTCTGCTCCAATTCTCCTGGTGCTATTGGGCGTGAATCGCCGCCTGCTAAGCACTCTTTACTGGGCAGGTGTGGGTGGGGGAAAAATGCCAGGTCCCACCTTCTCCTCCTGGTAATAATCAATGACCAATGAAAGCTAGTCTCAGCGACTCAGTCTCGTTTAGTTGCCGCTGCTTTGAGCAGTTCCCCCAGGCTCCGGTTTTTCAGGGGAGTCCCAGGGATGTGGGTGTCACTGCTTTTGCTGGTCACACCCCTTCTGGGGGTCCATCCAATGCATGCTTGTGCTCACTTTATAGACCAAAGAATCAGGCCAAGACATGCCTGTCGTACTTGCACACGGGACAGATATTACAGGCATTCCTTACTAGCCAACGCTTGGGCAAATGTCACTTAGTCCCCTGCCCTATGACCTGCCTGGGATGTCACTGCAATCACCCAGGGATGCCTAGGGCTCAGACCTGGATGTTAATTCTATTAGACCTAGTGCCTGAGCGAAGCCAGAAGTTCGCTTCTGGGCCGAGTATCATTCCAAGTGAGTGGACACAGAGGTCCCTTCGGGCAGAGGCCAACTGGGAGGAGCTGGGCCCAGAGAAGGCCAGCTCCACCCCTCTAGCGCACAGCTGGGTTCCTGAATCCAGGAGGGTCTGGGCCCCTCCACCCTGCATCCAGCGCAGGGCTGGCCTCTGAAGGAGACTACAACCCCCACCCCGCCCCCAACCATCCGGTGGATAAAAATAGCCTTGCACAGGACTTGAGAATGGTAATGGGAGCCACATGTTGGCCAGATGTGCCCGAGAGAGCGCGCCAGGAATGCGGAGGGTGGTGTGCCGGCTGGCCCCGCCCCACACGGACCAGGCTGGTCTAAGAGTTCAGTTTTTACTTCCTTGGAGTTTCTCAAAGTTGTGTGCAAGGGTCGGGGTGGCCCGAGCAGGATGGACGTCCCTCCAGGTCGGGCTGAGGTTCCGCCTGAGCCCTCCCTTATTCTGCCGGCTGTGTTTCCGTCTGTGTCTGCGCCTGTTTGAAGGACTTCTTGGTCCTCTGCATCGTCCGAACCTAGTCGGGAGAGGGCATCAGGGACCGGAGCCGACAGCTACCGCCCTTCCCCTCCTGGGCCTGCATTTCACCCACCTCCAGCAACTCGATTTTCTCACTCGCGGCCTTCAGCTCCTTCCAGACATCACTCATCTTCTGTCTGTGGATTCGGGGTTCAGGTGAGACACTGGACCCTTCCCTGTCTCCCGCCCCGCCCATCTGCATCACCGCCCACTTACTCCAGTTTCAATTCCAGAAGCTCCAGCTTGCTCTTTAGTGACCGCACCTCTTCCTTTAACGATGCTACATCCATAGCATCTGCGCTGGCGCTGGCACTCTCGGAAGAGGTTAGTGGGACCACGGGATGAAGTGTGGGAGCTCCTTCAGCGTCTGGCATCCGTTTGATAGTATGTGGTACTTGGGGAGTGGGGACTGACTCTTTTGGAGGCACTTGTTTTGGGGGACTCACCCCTTCAGAAGGCAGCTCTTTGGGGAGTGGTTCTTTCCGAGCTGTCTCATCTTTGGCTGGCAGACCCGTCACGGCAGCCTCATCTTCAGGCTTGGAGTGGGCTGGGCAGTTGTCCCCGTGCCCATGTTTCATCTTACAGCAGGACCTCTCTGAGGGGTTAGACCCTTGAAAGTGCTGTCCTGGCACCTGGATGTCATTTGGAGGTGCAAGAGACTGGGACCCCTGTGTGGTTTCTTCTGGAGGCAAATGCTGGCACTGAGTGTTCTCTTTAGAAGGGTCCTCTTCAAAAACCATGTGCTCTGGAGTCAAGATCTTTACTAGTGCGGGGGCAGTGTCCACAGGAAGGGCCGCCTTCGGGTCAAAGATTTCTTCCTTAGTTGGGGATTTTAGGGCAGGGGCTTCATCCCCAGAAAGGGCACCCCCTGTAGTGACAGCCGTGTCCACAGCGGTATTCTCTGCAGTGGGGATTTTGTCAGAATCCAGGGCTTTCTCTGGAACGCGGTTCTCTGGAGTGGAGACTTTGTTGGGAGCTGGGTTCTTCTCTGGGTCAAGGGTCTTATCTGGAAGCCGAGTTTTATCTGGAGTGGGAGTTTTATTTGTGGAGGGGGCCTTTCCCGGGCTTCTCTGGTCATCCTCCTGCAGTGATGGTAGGGATGGGGTTTTAGGTGGAAGCTGATTACCTTAAAGTAGCTTCCTTGTTTCCCTTGGGATCTTTTACCCTTGTAAAACACACCTGTGGGAACCATCTCCTTCCAGTAATGCCCTCTCCTATGTCTCTGACCTCTCACCTGACTTGACACAGGATGCTGTTGAGAAGCCTGGGTTCCGGGTCGCTTTCTCCCAGGTTGCCGTGCCCCCCCATTGAGGAAGCTGCCATTGAAGCCTATGAAAGTAGAATTTCAGAGACCCAAGCTCATCTCTATTGGGCAACACCCCCCCCCCGCCATCCCTATCTTCCACTGTAGAAAGTGAACCCTTACCAGCGTCTCGGGAGGGGCGTTTCTGGCTGTCCCCACTGGGTGTGGAAGATGTCCTGGAACACATCTCCATCAGCAACATGAGACAGGCATGGAAGGGGTTTCTCCTCTGCATCCCCCTCCTCCCCAATGCCCTCCTCCTCCTTACTTGACTTTGCTAGGTGCCGAGGCAGCTGCTGCCAGCCTCTTGACGGTAGGTAGGGATGTTCTGGGCATCAGCTTTTTTGATTCCTTAACAGGAGCTGGGAGGAGAGAAAGGAGTAATGTCCGTCTGCTTAAGTCCCTGGCTGTGTGTCCCTGGGCACAGAAGTGTGATGGGAGATGAAGTCCATCTGATTTTGAGAGCTCACCCTGGGCTTAGGGAAGCATGGAACATAAGGAGGGCTCTGTAGGGGCGCTAGCTCTCTATCCTGCCTGCCAGGTTTTGATCCCCTCTTTGAAGATCTGCCTGTTCCCTGCTTGGTGCCCATAATGAGTTCTCTGGTTCAGACTTCATTCTTTGTTGGACCAACAACCACCACCAACACACACACACACACACACACACACACACCTTTTTCCCAAGACAGGGTCTTACTTTGTAGCTCTGACTGTCCTGGAACGTACTATGCTATCTTACACCTTTTACGTGGTCCTACCCAGTCTTAGGGGTTTAATCATCATCAATAATCCAGTGACACCCAAATCTCCACCTCTGTGACCCCTGAACTCTTGTCATTCCAGCTGCCCTCTCACCAAGGTCATGAGCGCAAAGAATGACTAGATTACACAGAGACCTACCAAGTCTCAGAAAACTAGATCATTTTGGAGAGCCGCCAACACCAACTACATGGCATCTAGATGCAAGTTCCTGCTTCCCACACTCTAGCCCCTGAGCCTTCCTCATTTCTGCTGTTCTCAGGCCTCCTGCGTGCTCATCGGCAGGGATGAGGCAATAAGAATGCCTTTGATTCTGTAGACCAGGCTGGCTTTGAACTCACAGAGATCTGCCTGCCTCTGTGTCCTGAGGGTTGGGATTAAAGGTGTGCTCCACCACTGCCTGGCCTCATCTTTTAAAAATCCTTACATTGGCCGGGCGGTGGTGGCACACGCCTTTAATCCCAGCACTCGGGAGGCAGAGGCAGGTGGATCTACAAGAGCTAGTTCCAGGACAGGCTCCAAAACCACAGAGAAACCCTGTCTCGAAGAAAAAAAAAAATTCAGCAAGAGGGATGAAGAGATGGATCAGGAGTTAAGAGCACTGATTACAGAGGGTCTGGATTCAATTCTCTACACCCACATAGCAGCTAACAGGGTGCTCTTAACCCTGGAGCCCCACTTATTGCTCTTGCAGATGACCCAAGTTCAGTTGCCAGTACTCAACGTGCGGAGAGATTTGTCTCATAACAACCTATAACTCCAGCTCCAGAGTGACCCACAGCCTCTGGCCTCTGTGGGCACCAGTACATAGACACAAGGTACACCAGAAGCATATATGGGGGGAGGTATTTTTAGCTCTTTTTCCCCTCCCAGAGAGGGTCTCTACATAGTCCTAGAACTCACTCTGTAGACCAGGCTGGCCTTAAACTCAGAGATCCACCGGCCTCTGTGTCCCGAATGCTGGGATTATAGGTGTGTGCCACACCCACTAAGAACGGATTATAGGTGTGTGCCACACCCACTAAGGACGGATAAGCGTGCTGTGAACCAGGGTCTCACTGCTGCCACCCAGGCTGAGCTGAAGTCTCCTCCTGAAACATGCGAGCAGCTAGGAATGTAAGTGTAAGCACAACATCAGCAATATACAACATTGAAATTTTTGCTGTTGTTTCCTTTCTGTGTTTTGAGGCAAGGTTCCTCTGTGTAGTTCTGGCTGTCCTGGAACTCAAAAAAGCATTTTTTGAGATAGATGGGGTTTCGCTATGTAACAGGCCCTGGTTGTCCTGAAACTCTGTGTAGACCATGCTGGCCTTGAACTCACGGAGTACAGGGATTAAATGTGTGTGCCACCACCTCCCAGCACAATTTTTGACTTCTAGGGAGCCTGATAACTATTTGTGTACTTATATGCATACATGTGCCTTAGCCCAGACGTGTGGGGCAAAGGACGACGTAGAGGAGTCATTTCTCTCCTACCATGTGAGTATCCGGGATCAAATGCAAAGCCAACAGGCTTCATGTCTCTACCTGCTGTGCCTCCTCACCAGTCTACAGCAGACAGACTTCAGTGATCTGGACGTCATGGTACGTGCCAGTAATCCCAACCTCCTCCAGGAGGTGAAGGGAGTGAGAATGCTGGTGTTCAAGGCCAGCCCTGGCTAACATATAACACCTGTCTAAAATAAATATTTAAAAAAATCCCTGGGCTGGAGAGATGGCTCAGTGGTTAAGAGCATTGCCTGCTCTTCCAAAGGTCCTGAGTTCAATTCCCAGCTACCACATGGTGGCTCACAACCATCTGTAATGGGGTCTGGTGCCCTCTTCTAGCCTGCAGGCGTACACACAGAAAAATATTATATACATAATAAATAAATATTGCCGGGCAGTGGTGGCGTACGCCTTTAATCCCAGCACTCGGGAGGCAGAGGCAGGCGGATCTCTGTGAGTTCGAGACCAGCCTGGTCTACAAGAGCTAGTTCCAGGACAGGCTCCAAAACCACAGAGAAACCCTGTCTCGAAAAAAATAAATAAATAAATAAATAAAAATAAAAAAATAATAAATAAATATTAAAAACTAAAAAAAAAAATCCCAAAAGCCAGGCGTGGTGGCACACACCTGTAATCCCGGGCAGAGGCAGGTGGATCTCTGTGAGTTCAAGGCCAGCCTGGTCTACAGAGTGGTTTCCAGGACAGCCCAGGATACACAGAGAAACCCTGTTTCAAAAAAAATAGGCAAATAGAAGTGATGCCAGACAGTGGTGTCCTAGTTTCGTTTCTGTTGCTGTGACACAGGGAGGAAGGGTTTGTTCAGTTTTCAGTTCCTCACAGTACTGTGAGGAAGCCAAAGCAGGAAACTTCAAATCCGCAGA